GTTATCGGTCACTCACATCCACCATACAGTCGTTGTTCTCAACCACAACTTCTTCATCCTCTGCCTTCACAGCACTGCTATCCTCCGTTACCCGGCACTCCTCAACAGGCCTCTTCCTATTCGAGGGCACCTGAGAGCTCTGAGAGCTGCCTCTAACTATCCCAACACCAACCCTGGCCGGACGAACCCCAACGCCTTCCCCTTGCTCCATTGCCAAGAGCTCATCCTCAAAACCCTCGAGCATGTCCTCAACTGCTGCTGTGTCGACCGGTGCCGAATCCTCTCCCTCCTTCGGTCGTGACGCTGGCTTGTTCCGAGGTGCATCCTGCAGCCAATACCACTCCAATAACAATTCTTAAGACACTGAGGTAAGGGGATGCACCTCTACCCACCTTGAAAAACTGTGCGATCCCCCTCTGTCCCTTCTCCCTCTCCTGCATCCTCCTAGCCGCCGCCTCCTGCTCCGCTTTCCTCTGCCTACGCGCCCTCTCCAGCATCTTCCTGGCCTACATCAACAGCCCACTCCCCAAGGAGGCCACCAACCCCTCCTACATTCTTCGATCCTCCCATCTCCTCCTCGTCATTAAGCCTCTCTAAGTCCGAGTCATACTCCTCCTACCATCACCATCATCCACACCCAGCGACCATCCACTACCAATACTTACCTCATCCCACAGCTCCTGCCCGTCATCGATGTACCCACCACCATCGCCACCCTGGTCATCCACCACAAAGTTGTCATTCCGTCTGGCCTTACACAGCTTCCTGTACTCGTCCTCATCAACCTGAGAACCGTTCCAGCACCCTTGAAGACAACCGAGGTAGTCACCTCCTCGACGATCCTGCCACTCTCCTTCACCTCGTACTGCTGTGACCGTTTCCCCCCACCAGCACGCAGCTCACGTAGCTGTTTCAGTGCATCTTTCTTAGAGGGCATCCCAATAAACGAACAAGTACTCACTACCCCAGAAGCCTTCCTTCATTGACACATTCGTAGCGCAACAACCAGAAACACCGAGAACGTAA